GAAATTGGGGTTGAGGAGTGAAAATGTATTAGTTTTTGTTTATATTTGATTGAATTTATCAAGATTTCTTATCTATTGGATCTATATTTATATGTTTTCCTCTTATAACTTAATTATAAGATAAAGATAAATTTTTGTTACAAAATGTCAAAATCTACTCATACCTTTTTGTTTTTATATTTGCAAGAAAACAATAAAGTAAATTAAAGGAAAAGAATGAAAAGAAATGTGTGTGTATATATATAAGCACAAAAGAGAAGTAGCATATTTATAGCTATCAAAACAAATTCACACACACACACACACATCAATTATTTGGTTGGAGATTTAGAGAAGATAGCATTAACAAGTAAGCATGCATTGCAGACTAGATTTTCAAGAGGAGAAGATATCACATTTGTATGTGATTTTTATCAAATTATAATTTATATATTAGAGTCCCACATCGACTAAAAAAGAAAAGAGAAACCTCTGCTTTAATTATAAATACTACTCTCTATTAAGAGGAAGACATCCAATTTCATCACTTGTGATATAGGAGGCAACACATGGAGTTTGGAGGAGTTCTTTCGAGCTAGGAATTTTTCCTTTAGTCTTCTTATTTTATCTATGTTTTCTATTGGAATGTTTTGTATTGACTCTATGAGTTGTTACTAAACTCCCAGTTAGGGTAAGAAGTAGCCTAACTAGGATAAATTTTGCTCTTTTATTTAATTATTTTATTTTTCCCATTGAACTTAACATCTTGTTTATGAGATTTTAATATTTCTATTTATATTTGCCTCTCTAGTTTTAATTACTTTTTATATAGATGACCACCATATAGATTGTCTATGAGTGGCTTGATGAACTGAAAATTAAACAACTTACCTAAACCTAGAGAGATAGACACATATAATTAAACAAGGAATAATTTAAGTGTTTTTGGTTAGTTAGATCATAACTTGATAATTTAGTTCGAGAGTATAATTTAGTGAGAGCTAAATTATCTTGATAAGTGAATCCTATTACTAACATTTGCTTAATTAGTTAGTTCATCATGTCCATCACTTTTATGGTTTTCTTATTTGCATTATTTAATTATTGAATTTAAATATCTTTTCAAAACACTTTTTTGTTTTCTTAATTAACAAAGATCATTATATTCTATTATTACCACATCAATCTCATGGCTTGCAAGGCTGATCAATTGGGTTGTGTTTGGGTGTCTAACTCTTTAATACGAAATAATTTGAAAATAAAACTAGTGTTATTAGCTAGTTCATTAAATGGGATTTTTGTAGGCACTTAGATCATCTTGATTGGATGTTGGATGGATATTTAGGGTGTGCTAGAAGTTTGACCCCGAATCTGTCATTTGATAGCAAATTGTTATTATGTTATGTGCAATGTACCATGGTGCATGACACAAAGAACATTCAACCACGGTGCATTATTCCCTTGGCTGTCATGGATGACTCTTCATTATGAATAATTGACATTTTTGACCTTTTACAAATGTTTTCAAATTTAACTGGTATTTCATTTCATAACTCTAATTTAGACTTGTTTTGCTTAAATCTTTTATGCTTATACAAGGTAAAAACTTGGGTTCCCCTTATAAACAAATGAATTTCCTTTTACTATAGTAATGGTTTGTATGGTCCGTTCCTTAATTACCATGGTAAGGGATGTTTAATATGGTTAAGTATGTGGTATAATTAGGTGATATTACAACTAAGGCTATGGTTGAAATAAATTGAAGAAATGAAGTAATTAAGAGCTTATTCTTGCTTCTAGCACTGTGGGTACCAATTTTTAGTGATTTTGATGAAACCTTAAGGTTGAAATGCTTAAATATGTAATATGTAAATGAATGGATGTTATAATTAGGTTTGTTAGAACCTAAACAAGCTAATCAAAGCATGGGAATGTTGAATTTTAAGAAGAAACAAATTTTGAGAATTTTAGTGAATTTTTAAATTTTGGAACTTTTGAACATTGAAATGTTGGAGATTTTAAACTTATAGTTACTTTTTAATTCTAGTTTTAATCTTGCTTAAAGTCATTCAATGACTCAAGTTGCAACATGTAGGCTAATACTTGTGAGGATGGAGAACTTGTCCTTGCAAGGATGAAAAATTTAAAATCTTAATTAACATTATCACTCTAAAACTCACACGTCTCATCACTAAAACTCGCATGTTCTAAGTGATTAGAATCAAGCTCCTCTCCACCACATTAGAACTTGTGTGCCTCTTAAGCTCATGTGTTTCAATAAGCCAGAGGCAACCTTTTTTTTAGAACTCTAAATCTCACTTGTTTGAGCATTACAGAATCAAAGGTATTCTAACAATAAAAATCTAATTGGATCACACATGTTCTTGATTAGAACTCATGAAGATTAGATTGAAGGATGAAATATACAAAGATATTTTTTAAGTTTAAAAATCATGAGTGTGTGTGAAAGCCTAAGGCTTGTTTATCCGAAAAATGTTTTACCATATTATTTAAATGCAAAATCTCTAATTTAACTTGTTTTCAACGTTAAGAATTAAGAAAATATAAAATAAAACCTATTACATTATAAGTCTTCTCTTGTTTTTACTCCTTTGTTCTCTTTAGATGGTTTTGTTATAATTAATTCTTTAATCTATGCAAACAAAACATTTTCTTTAGTTTTGTTATTATCAAAATAAAGTATTTAACAAATTGGGTGTAAATAGTTGAAAAATGCTAGTCAGGCTCTTAATTAGGAGTAATTAACCAATGTGTGGACTAAGCCTAATTAGTACAATTGGGAGACTATATTGTGGGGAAGATAGTTCAATGAGATGATGAAATATTTTGACAACAAGGTGTATACTTACAAAGGTTAACTAATCTAGTAGTTTTGGGCTAGTAAATGAGTCTAAAAGAGAAGTAGGCTCGCACATATAATAACATGCCAACACAAGACAAAGTCAGTTGAAAACAATTGATGTATGTAAGTTCAACATGGTACTAGGTATTTTTTACTAGAATTATTAATATGAAAATCCAAGATTTATTTGTATTAAAAATAGCTTTATGGAAAAGCCTTGTGTTAGCTTATTTAAATTTTGGAACTTTCGAATACTGAAACGTTGGAAGTTTTAAACTCATACTTATTTTTTAATTCTGGTTTTAATCTTGCTTAAAGTCATTCAGTGACTTAAGTTGTAACATAAAATTAATTTTGTATTTTCACAAAAAATAATTCAAATAAAAAGTGCCAGTATTGCGCTAACTTGTGCATAAGGGAGGTGGAATCATTGAATCGAATTTGAATTGAAGTTGCCATCATTAGCATGTTGTTGCACACACGACACCTCTATTCAATCCAACTACTAACCCAATTTCACTTTTTATTATTTAATCTCTTCATTTAAAAATATAAAATATTTTTTAAAAGGTTAAATGTTTAAAATATAAATAAACATAAAAAATAAGGTTAGTTTAAAGATAATTAATTATTTTATTAAAAGATAATATTTAGTTAAAAATAACTTATATTTTAAAACAAAGGAAACTCTTTTCACTTGTACAATGTGAGACTTTTCTTTTGACATGCGCAAATTACAACATATTTGTCATATGAAATTTTGTAGATGCTGTGGCTAAGTTCAGTTTCGCTGCACTTCATGGTTTCCATTTGTTTGTTTACTCAAACTCCTCTTAGAGATGTTCTTGCTAAGGATTGTCAGGGAGATCTGGTTTTGTCTGTTCATTTAAAAAAAAAAAAAAAGGCCTGGAGTAGAAGACATTTTCTATACTAATGTTTATTGAATTCATATTGGCATTTTAGGAAATTGTTGTAAGTAACCTCAACTCCTCGAATATTCACATTCACATTGTTTAAATTCCGGATGGCTTACTTAATTTACCGAGCACATGGTAAATAATCTCAAATACTCATTGATTTACTATACTTACTAAAACATATAAAAATATATGTCTATTTCTTAGCCAAATTTTTATTAATTTATAGGAAAAATATGTTTCTTCTTTTGGGTTCAATACGGCAAAAAATGGCAAAAAAATATTTCAAATAAAATATGTTTGTTCTCGTTTAGAAAAATAAGATATGTTTCTTTTGTTTGTTCTATACGGCAGAATGAAATGAAAATGAAAATGCTTCAAATATTGCGTAAATGTGAATGAGCCAAGATTTAAATATTGATTCTCTAACTCGTCGAGATCACAGAACACATGACTTAACCTATAAATGGGTAAAAGTGTCCAGGGAAAAATTATTCAATTGGGGAAACTTAGGACTTCGTTGTAACCGACGGATAGGACAACGAAACGCGCGAACGCAAAATCCAAACCTATTATGCGAGATAACAAAACGGAAATCGTATTAAACGATCTTTAACTAATTATGAAGGAAAAAAATTAAAAAAATAATAATAATTTTTTTAATTATATAAATAAGAATTTAATTTTTTAAAATGTCATAATTTTATTAAAATTTTTAAAAATTTTTTATCAATAAATTTTAAATTAAAAATATTATTTTACTTTTATAACAAGTTATAATTTTTTCTCAATTCTTATTATTTTTTAAATAAAAGTTATAATTTTTAAATAAAAATTATAAATAAAGTATGTTATTTTAAAAATTTATTTTTTAATAATAAAAATTATATTTGATAAATTATAATTTTTTATTTAACTCTTATAATTTATAGAATAAAAATTATTATTTTTAAATAAAAATTATTATTTTTAAATAAAAATTATGATTGAAATTTATTTTTTAATAAAAAATATATTTAATAAATTATAATTTTTTTATTTAATTTTCATAATTTATAAAATAAAAATTATGACTATTTAAATAAATATTATAATTGAAACTTATTATTTTTAATAAGAATAAAATAATTGATTTATTTTTTAAAATTATTGATATAAGATCCGTAGGACTTGATTTGCATTATGGGCGGAAATTTATTGTCATTTTCCAAAAAAATTTACAGAGAGAATCAGAGAAAAGAAAAAGGAAAACTGAAAGGGAAAGCCGAGAAATTCAAACTTTGGAAGGAAAGAAATTTAAGGCGGAGGGATGAAGGAGTCCTTGCAACGCATTAATGTTATGTTTGCAATCTTGTGGAGGAAGAGGAAAAGAAAGAACCGCTGAGGCTGAAAATGACGTTATGACCGAGAAAGATTATCCGTTTCTAGATTCTAGACTTCTGAGAACAAGCACAAGCCCATAATTTACGGGGATTCAGAGTTGGGTTTCTTTTAGCTTCTCTTATTGGTCTTTGCAGAGTCTCTCATTTGACTTCCCTATAGACTCTGATTTCTTCATCAATTTCGCTGTGAGTTACTCATTGGGCTTGATTCGTTTGTGATTCTGCAAGTTTCTGTCCTGAATTAGTTATTTTCTCTGTTTGCATCGTTGAATTTGCTCGTAGGTTCTTTGGCTTGCTCTTTGGAATTTTGTTGAATCTTCGTTTTGAAAGGGAAGCGGTGCTTGAAGGCTGGGAAAATGGGTTTGTTTTCTGGGCTCTTTTTGGGCATAGCACTCGGCATCGCTTTAATGTACGGATGGCAATATATGATGAAGTACCGAAGCGCCAAGCGGATTGCGAAGGTATGATGAGTTTTTCTTGTTTCCCTGGTACTCAAAGTTTTCATAGACACTTTTTCTTTTTCTGTTAAATCACTTTTTGCTTGAGCAATATACTGAACAGTGTTGAAGGAGTGAATGAATTGATATGTAATCAGCGTTCATTTGTTGAAATGTGGGAGATCAGTGGATTTATGGGAGCTTCACCGTGGGTGTTTTATTTAGCATATCAATTAGGAGAGTCATTCAGCAATTGGTTAAGTAACAAAATTCCCGTTCCTCAGTCAAATGCGGAAGCCTCCTCTTTGGTGCAACACATCTGTCTGGCTTCTTTCCTTGGAACTTATGTTCGGCTGTAGTACCATTACCCACTGTCTTCTACTACGGAAAGGCAACTGTTGTGGGAAATTGGTCCTCTGTTCAGACCTCTGGGAAACTCTTTCATTACCCCCGTGCTCTATTTATATTAATAACTCGGTGAAAGGTTTCACTAGCGAAAGTAACTGTACACTTTTCCGTGGGCATTATCATTTCAATTGTAAATTGTAATGCCTTTAGTAATAATATTTAGGTTCGCCGGTTCATTCCATAATAATTCCATAGAGTTTTTCTATGTAGCCACATGCAAAAGCTTAAATGAGACTGATGAGAAAGTTGTTGGTCAACTAAAACTTTTCCTGTTGAAACCAATCTTCCTCATTTATTGGGTGGAAAAGTTGCGTCCAACCTGTGTAATCAAATCTGTTCTTCCTTGAATGATCACATTTAAAGCTTGAGTGGTCTTCAAAGAAGACTCGAGGATTGGTAATATTGAGGTTACGGAGGATAACAGAATTCATATTTCAAAGCATTGATGCTCCTCAATTTTTATTTAACTGCACACATTTACATTGACATTTCCATAGGTTGATTTCTAAGTTCTAAATTACTTGAAAGAATTGATCAAAAGACCTTAATGTGGTTAATGCCTAACTTTGCTTTAGCTTGATTGAGAAAGACTTAGTCACTTAGAATCATGGAATAGGTAAGAATGAGTTCTTCATAGCTTGAAAGCAGGGGCTGAAATGTTCTTGCTGAACTACTCTGGTGCATCAAATCTAAGTGATTTTAGGTTGCTTGGCTTATGATTTTATGAGGTAGGGGACAATGGAATATAGTTGGAATGAAAGCCTCCTATGGGATAAAGAAGGGGACAGTAGTAGGACATGCAAGACGGAAAAAATGCTCTGGGGTTCTGAAGTGTATAGCACCTGCACTTATGAAAGCAATGAAGGAGAGAAAGTTGAAAGTTTAGCTTGCAAACGTGCAAATTTTCATGAACTTCAAATATAATGTATTGTTTATCTGACAATATCATACAAATGCATACATGTGTACTTGCATCTGTATTCTCATACAGAGATTGTCACACATATTGTCTCACGTTTCCTTTATCTTTTTCTGATCGTCCATCAAGGGTAAGCAGAAGAAAATTTTTGATTGTCAGCAACATTGGCGATTGGTCTTTTATAAACCAAAAGTGTTTTTGGTTTTGCAATGATCATTTTTCATGGTTTTATAGATTAAGTGTGTTGATGGTGACCCTTTCAAAACTGGCTACTTGAATATAGTATGCCTGAGAAATTTTTAAACGTAAATCCTAGCTAGTAGAATAACATGTAGTGCAGTTTTTCTCTGTATGATGACTTGCCAATGAATGAACATTTTTTTTTGTTCATATTATAAGCCATTTGCTTTTATCCTAAAGTAACCTGTTTTTTCTTGGACTTGAGTCAAGTCTGGATGCTGGAATCCATATACCATACTGATTCAATCACATGCATTAAATGAGGCGATGTGATTTAGAAGGATTTGTATTATAATGAATATTATGTCATTGACAGGGATATGTTATTGAGCTTCTTGAATTTCCCTTCTTGGTTTAGATTTTTTTAATTTGAAAAAAAATTCCCTTGTTTTAACAGCTGATATTTATTCTTTTGTACAGGCAGTTGATATCAAACTCCTCAGATCGCTTGACAGAGATGATATAAGAAAAATCTGTGGTGATAATGCTCCTGAATGGATATCTTTTCCTGTATATGAACAGGTGGGGACTTCCTTCTAATATTTTCTCTTTTTAATGAGATGATTTAATATTATGTCCCTAGAGTTCCAGTGCTTTGGGAGTGAGGATGAGCAATGGATATCCTATCAAATATTTTTTGACATTTGGCCAGGATCAATTAACTTTATTGAACATATGAGCTTGCTTGAGAATTTTGAAGAGAGTTTGGTGGGGTGGAGAGAATTCCTGCTCCATCTTCTGAGAATTAAATGGAAAGGGGATGTTGACTTACTTCCCATTGTTTTGAAGTTACAATTTCATTCATGGAGTGTGATGGATTTGAAGTTAAACATGCAAGGATGAAATGAAAATGACCTCAACCATCCCAAACCTCCAAATTTTGAAGGGTTATCAATTGTGATGCAAGGTGGTTTAAGTTGGCAACGCATCATATCATTCTCTGCTCCTTTACAACATCCTTGCACTTGTGATATTATCCCCACCTCACCCACAGCCGTCCTCCCAAACAGGTCTCTAAGTTTTTGTTTATAATGCTATGCCTCAATCATGACTCACAAATTATGGCACTCCTTAGAGGCAGCTGCAAAGTTGAATGCTAGAAACCCTACTATTTGTTGCTCTGCTTGAATAGGATCTTTTTATTTGTGTATGACCTTTTGCATGGGCCTTTTTAGGTGAAATGGCTAAACAAGCAGCTGAGCAAACTGTGGCCATCTGTGGCAGAAGTGAGTATAATGTGCTTCATATATGCTTGAATAATAATTTACCACTGTTGAGTATCATTTATTAATTTCTGCCAAGACTTTGTTCTCTGGTTAGAATTTGATTTCCTTGCATTTCTGATGTTGAGCATGGCATTTTGCAGATTATATATGGCCTCTAATGAACAGTGGATTGTTTGTTGGTTATATTGTCCGAGAATGTTGCCTGTTACATCCCATTTGTGTGCTCTGACTGGAAAGTTTTCATGTGTTTTAATGACTAGGCTCTAGCGGTAGCTAATAGTAATATCATGATAATTGTTGTTGCAATGTAATTGACATAATTCATGTTATATCTTGTAGTTATATCATTCTATCTAAAAATTCATTGCATGTGATAAGTACTAGGAAGTTAGACGAAATTAAATGAAAATAGGACTTAGGAAAAGAGAGAAATAGAGGAAGTTGGAACTCTAGGATCAGCATCGAATCCTGAGAGTAGGGAGAATCTCAAGGTTATCTGAGTAGTATCTAATCCTAAGAGTAGGGAGAATCTCAAGGTTATCTGAGTAGTATTTCATTCACACCAGCCAAATAAGCCTCACAACCTTTTATAAGTTTAACTTAACACACACACACAGCAAATACAACAATAACTAGCAATGACTGAACATTAAGTTATCCTACAGTTATTTAGGATAATACAATTCAGTTATAAGTTATAACATGTCTAATCTATCCAAGTGTCCTGCTGCCACATTAGTCTTCCATGTTACCTTGTTGCTACATTTCTGCCAACTCAATGTCTTGTTCTGCCTGGCTGCCATGTTTCCTTCTTTTATAAACAAGAGGCCCTGGAATGCTGTCAGTATGTAGGGGCTAGAGATTAGGGAGGTGCTTTGGTAAAGCATCTCTTTTTCTTTTTTCCATGTTTTCCTTTATGGAGGATTTCTGATATTGTTTTATTTTCTTAATTGATCAAGCTATGCATTAAAGTGTTTGATCAGATTGAATGAGTGAGTAAAGTCTATTAAATTTGCTGCTTTCTGGGAGATAATGTACTTGGGATCCTTCGTTGAGAAGCCGAGAACACAATTATTTATTATGAAGCTCTTTTTATGGTTTTAGTTTGCATTAACTTTTGGTTGATGATTATTTATTTTGTCATAGACAGGACTTTATTGGAGTGATTTGTTTTGGGTGTATATTTTTTATGAATTGCATTTTGGACATGACTACCTATATTATTGTTTATACAGTCTGTGATAAAGTTTATATGTGATAACTGCATATTGGAAGCGACCTCAATCGTCAAATTTTTAATTGTATGTTCTACAAAAGCTGTGCTTCACGTCTTATTTTTAGGAGTTAAGCTCTTGGCCTAGTTAGGAGACCTTTCTGCTTCAAGTTGCCCTGCAAATCTTACCGACACATGTGCATGCCTGCTTTGCTGAAATAGCACAGAAACTTTAATGTTGCTGGATTTTCTTTACTTTTAGGCTGGATCAATGGTGATCAAAGAATCCGTTGAACCACTACTTGAGGAGTACAGACCTGCTGGAATTACTTCGTTGAAATTCAGCAAATTGTCGCTCGGAAATGTTGCTCCAAAGATTGAAGGTGCCTTTTCTCCCAAAAAAAAAAAAAAAAGTCTGTGTGTGTGTGTTAAAAAAACAGATAATTGATTGAACAGGAGAGAGAACTTATAACAGAGGACAAGTGAAAGAATTTATGAAATGTTTATCATCAAGTCTTCCACATTTTGGATGTCAGTTTATGGTTTTAATTTCTATTGATCTCTTCCTTTTTGCCATTTTGTGAACTAATGTTTTAAGGAGTAGTAAGGCTTGCTTTCAAGATTTAGCTATACAATGTTGCTGCTCTATTGCCTGACAATAACTTTCTGGGGAATGAACCTATTATTTCCACAAACTAAGAATCTGGTGATTATGTTCCAGTTCTGTTTCTTTTGTTGTAAGAGTTTTGTGTGGGGGTGGGAGAAGGAACTCCTACTTCCTATCCCTACATCTTACTATGATAAGGAGAATTTTAATGCTTATGTTATAATCCAATTTAGAATATTTATTATTTTAATTTCGTAAAGGTTTTATCTATGAAATACAAGCATGGACAGAACTGAGATAAAGCTTGGTCATGGATATAATACTACAAAGTAGAAAATGTTTAATATATACAGCATAGATAATATACATTGATTTTGGTGCATTTATAATAATATTGTATATGACTATTGACTTTTATAGAAAACAAATATTATAGATTGGTGGGATAGTTAATTTCTGAAGGGGGGAAATTGAGGTTCTTATAATTGGTGAATATTAATATGCTTTAAAACTTTTTAAATTCCTTATATGATACTAGTCTTGTGAAACACACCAAAATCTATTTAAATCTGCATTGGAGATGAATTTATGTAATTTCTATCGACTTAATAATTGAATATTATCTGGAGAACAAGAAGAATCAAAGCTAATTATGTGAAGGGGATGAATGAAAGATGGAGTTGTATTGTTTAAGGATAACTAGATCTTATGTATGCAATAGTTAATGTTTGCCTTTTGTAGTTTAATCCAATGTTAGGCAAAAGGCGCACTCAAGGCGCAAGGTTTGTAAAATGCCTTAGGTGCAAAGCACTAGAAAGGCACATGCCTGATTGAAGCAAGGCGCTACCATGTGAAAATGCATAATGTATAGACAACATCATATTTAAAATGCTAATTGTAAATTTACTTGACCTTCATATAGATACTCTAAAAAAGTGTCATGTGAAGAAAACATAGATAAAAGTAGCAATCATTTTATACGTTATGAATAAATACTCTGGGAAATATGACCAAGTGCCAAAGGTGCTCACCTTCTGCTCGAGGAAGGTGCCTTGGTGAGTGCTTGAGTGAACCCATCACCTCTCTTCACATGAGAGGCGATGAGGCTGTTCTGCACCTTGCCTTGGCACCAAAGGTGCAAATGCACTTGCCCTTAACAACACTGGTTTAATCTTCTTGCAAAATGATTTTATTAGGATATTAATATGGAAAAGTTTGCACTGATGATAGGATTGTTTTGAAAATTTTGACTTTACATATTCAGTTAGACTGAATAAAAAGGGTGTACCTTTCAGCCCCATGGAAGATTTGTGAATCACATTCTGTCAAATATACGTTAACCTCATTTGAAATGAAAGACCGTGCTACATTCATCTCCTCCCCCCCCCCCCAAAAAAAAAGGATAAGCTACTGTTATATTTATTTTGACTAGAATTTCCTTAGATGCCCATGTAATATAACAAGTATTTGCATGTAAATTTGAGTTTGAACAATATGAAATAGTTAATTTTATAAATTTATAAAATTGCAAAAACATTTGATAAAAATTATTATAAATAAATTACGCATTTACAAAATACTGTGTTGTTTTTAACTAATTTATGGATAATAATTTAACTTCTTGGGAAATGTTTATGTTAAATATAAATTAATAACTATAACTATTTCTGTAAAAGTAATATATTTTTAGGATAAAATTAACTTTCTAGTTTTTAACCCAACATAAATTGAAGCGAAATAAAAGTGTAATAATCATTATCTAGTGTTATATTTTGAACAAAAAGAAATGAGTATTTTTATTTGGGGCATCTTGTTTTAAAGATTAGGTGTATAGTTCCCAGAGGGAAGGCTGTCAAATTGGGGCATCTTTTAGAAGCAGGGAGAGCAATTTTCCAAATATTATGTAAATGCTGTTTTATATCCCTCTCCTTCTTGTGTACCTTCCCATAGCCATCATTTTTTTGTTGAATTTTTCATGAGTTCATAAACTAAATGTTGTATAAATTCCTAATTCTTGTAGGTATTCGTGTTCAGAGTCTTAAGAAAGGACAAATCATAATGGACATTGATTTCCGATGGGGAGGTGATCCCAGCATTATTTTGGCTGTTGAAGCTGCACTTGTTGCATCAATCCCCATTCAGGTTAGATTCAGATGAGTTGTCTTCCCTTCTGTCTCTTAAAATTGTTATTTTATTAAAGTCCCCTTCCTTTACAAAATTTTAAATTGTGATTATCATTATTTTCTTGATTCAGTTGAAAGATCTCCAAGTTTTCACGATTGTCCGTGTTATCTTCCAACTTGCTGAAGAAATACCCTGTATTTCTGCTGTTGTTGTTGCCCTGCTTGCTGAGGTAATCCAAGGGTGGAAAACAGCATAAGCGTGTTTCTTTATTTTCTTTTTTCCAGCCAACCTTCTGAATCTTTGGATCATTTTGTTGGTGTTGGAAGAAAAAAAAGATGAATATTAAAGATTCTATTTAGTTTGCATTTATCTTATATGAGGCAAGTCAAAGTAAAGTGGGTAGCAAACGTTTCATCCTTGAAAACAGAATAATGGTTGTACTTTATATTTCAGTGAGCATTCTCAATGTTTTGTCTATTTTGTTGGAGTAGAAATTAAAGATGAATATGCAAGGAGTCTGTTTGGTTTGCATTCATTTTATGAGGAAGGTCAAAGAAAAGTGGGTAGCTAACACTTATTCCTTGAATCAAATGAGTATTGTCATAACTACTTTTCTTTTCAAGTTTCAATAGCATTTGCTGCCGTGGTTCTGTTTAAGGGTATCAATGTCTAAGATTGGAGTACCTTGTTATGGTTTTTTGGGGTTTCCTGCAAATGTAGTTTGATGCCTTTTGTTGACCATTATCTGGTTTATACATTCACTTAGAAAAAACTCATGGGGTAGCATGTTTTTTCTGTAGCAGTTGATCTTGTCTATAAAACCCCTACAATTTTTTTCCTAATTGGTTGTTTTAGTTTCTTTTCTTTTGGCTCTAGTTCACTGGCAGGCCTACTAGGCAAGAGTTTGCAGAATTATAAGTTTACATTGCTTCGCCAACTATGGTCATTTCAATCTTCAGGCTTATAGTTCTAAAATTGTTCTCTAATAGCCTATTCTGATGACACTTAAGCATTGCGCTTTCAGTGTATTCCATTCCCTCCTCCAAACACCCCCCCTCAAAAAAAAAAAAAAAGAAAGAAACCCATTAAGGCCACCTGTTTACATGAGCCTATTGGGTGAATGAGGCTTTTAAGAACTTGGAGATTTTGGATAATTAACAGCGATTTGTATGAGGTATTTAGAATGTCAGGAAGTCTTGCTGTTGAAGAATGCAGTTACTTGGAGTAAACTGAACACCCAAAATATAAATTTTGGTTGAAAGTCATAGTTTAGTATAAATTTAGGTTGAAATTCAAATATTGTTTTCCATCCTAGAGATTTTTCATGGTACATTTTGAAAGATTGTGTTTTATTTTTTTTCACTCCCTTTGCTCTCCCTATTACCCAGCATGAATATTGTCACTGGAAAATATGATTGTTTTGGCCTTAAATTTTTTTTTTTTGAATGAGAAAATTTAAAATTGTTTGTTGATTAAGCAGAAAATCGAAAGGGGGCACATCGGTCAATTTATATTCTATTTGTCTTAATTGCATTAATATTACTATATTAGCTTCATTGTTGTTGACCTACTTATTGCAGCATGATAATTGTGCCAATATTAGAATGATGTTTTTCTCAAGATTGCTCGAGATAGAATTACTATTGTCTTTTAGTTTACTGTTCTATTCTGCTTGGCCTAGCAGCTAATCCCACCTAGTGGGATTAGGCTAGTTGTTTGCCAGTGCTGCTTAGTGCTTGATGCGTGATAGCAAATTTGTACAATAATTGGTTCCACTATTGGAAGTACTAACTTTTTCATTAATATATAATCAGCCAAAACCTCGGATTGATTACACTCTTAAGGCCATTGGAGGAAGTTTGACGGCAATTCCTGGATTATCAGATATGATTGATGTGAGTTCTGTCTGTTATCTGCACTTACGACTTAACTCCCTCTGCGTTTGATTTTGAATAAATACTCATGACTCGTTGTGCTTTCTGCCCAACATTTCATAGGATACTGTGAACTCAATAGTTACTGATATGCTTCAATGGCCTCATAGGATCGTTGTTCCAATTGGTGGTGTACCTGTTGATACTAGGTAATTATGAATCTTAGGGGACCCTTTGCTTTTTTATCAGTTATTCTTACAGGCGACTCTCTGTAGCCTCCTAGATGACCGTCTAAAAACGCTAGCAAGTTGTGTTGTTTGTTTCTTGAGTATTTATATGCATACCAAAGCACATGAATCCCTTTTCTCATTTGCAGTGAACTGGAGCTTAAACCTCAGGGAAATCTTACAGTGAATGTTGTGAGTGCCAATGATTTGAAGAATATGGAAATGATTGGGAAATCTGATCCTTATGTAGTAGTGCATATTCGACCTTTATTTAAGGTTAAAACCAAGGTTATTGACAACAACCTGAATCCTATTTGGGATCAGGCTTTTAACTTGATCGTTGAAGACAAGGAGACTCAGTCACTTATTCTTGAGGTTTTGCACCACTATTACCCCACCTTATTACTAATACTACTCTCTTCTGCCTCCTTTCTTATGGATGTGTTCTTATGGATGTGCTTTAACTTTTAGCTTTCACAAATTTTAGCCTTTAACAAAAGTATAACATATATCTTATTCATCACCTTAATTAATGCTTACTTCTTTTTATGTATTTGTCCAGTGCCTTGTACTAAGATTGAAGTTTAGCTAATTACTTGCCTAGTGTTCTGTCATTAGGATGCAATTAGAGGCACATTACATATTTTGTTCCCAGGCATGGTTTCTGAAGAATCTTAGAGTGAGAAAAACCCGTGTTCAACTACTTCTCTGGTTCATGTTATTGTCAAAAAAGTAGCTAGGTTACATATATATGTTGGTCTGGCGGCTTAGAAAGCCTGAGATAGAGTACAGGGGATTCTCTTATATCAGAACCGTAAATCTAACTATTTATGTCCAGACCTGGTAGTGCTAGATACAGGATAAAGGAACTAAACAAGATAAAATAAAGAAATAAAATAGATTGGTGTTAGGATGAGTTTGGCATCTTCAACTTTTGCTTTTTGTTTTTAATGCATCAGTTGATCTGAACATTTTAATTTTGACCTGTTAAGCCCTTTTTCTAACTCCACCTATGTTTATAGTCAATTCCAAGTCCAGATAAAGAAATAGGGTTGTGTTAGGCCTTTGACAGCCAATGTAAAACTTTGTCAAATCTCATATAATTGATGATAGACCACGTTGGCATCATGTAATTCATTTAGCTGACTTACTTAGTGAAATAAGGCTTGTTGCCCTTCTTCTGTGTGTGTTTTTGCTTTAGTGATGAAGTGCCTCTTTCTCAGTGGGTTTTATTTAATTATTTTTTTCATGTAGTTGTACACTTGTGCATGTAACTTTTGGACATTCTGAATTAATATTTGAGAATAAATCTGAGGGAAACACAATAATTGGTCTCAATAGTTTCATCGGGTTTTGCTTTTAGTTCCTACAATTTTTAGTCCCTGCTGAAACTATAGGGACCTAAGTAATAAACATCACCTAATCATGTTGAAACTATAGGGACTAAAAAACTGGAAAAAAAAAAAAACTGTTTAAGGACTAAAAAGCAAACCCCGATAAAAATTTGGGGATTGATGCTTGTGTTTTCCCTAAATATAATGTTAAATAGACTGTCATACACACACTGGATATTACCCAGAATAAGTAACACTGAAATAGAATGTGATGGTTTATTTAATTGATTTATGTTTTCCAAAATCTAGCTTTTTATTTAACTGGGTTATTATATGCAGAGATAAAAAAGTGACATTGCTGGTTAGTTCGTTAACCTACATAAATGAAGTGGTTTCCTGCAAAATTGTGTTTTCCGTTCATTATTTCATTGAAAACAAGGTTTTCTTCTTTTTTTCGTCTTCTCCACTATCCACCAAGTTATTAATACGTTGGTCTATCGTTTTTGTTTCCCTCATTCTAACGTCACTTTTTCCCTTGTCATTCTTATTGTTTTATTTTTGGCCAAGGAACCTCATTGTTCTTATGTTATGATTCTGCAATTAGGTTTTTGATAAAGATATTGGGCAAGATAAGAGATTGGGAATAGTAAAATTACCCCTCATTGATCTCGAACCAGAAACTCTAAAGGAAATTGAGTTGAGACTGCTGCCATCGCTGGACACACTGAAAGTAAAAGATAAGAAGGACCGAGGATCATTGACAATCAAGGTATGGATGCATCAGTATTTATTTGTTGTAAAGACAAATATGTTGTTTTATTTGACTTTGATTGTGACATACTGCAATTTAGACTCCTTGCACTCAAAATGTGTTGTTTGGATAATCTTAACATTTGTAAAATTCATATTCATAGTGTATATAAATATATAAAAATGTTAGAAGAAACAAACCCTTAAATGATAGAGGAAAGGAGGAAATTCACTTGTTTCACCAAGTTTGGCAGAAGGTCAAATTCTTCAAAAATTATTTGATTGTTCTACTATAGTTTTAATATCTTATTTTTTCCAAACTATGATATAGATTGTTTGGTCATGTCATTCACAGACCCTTTTAGTTGATTTTAAAATATAATTCGTTTGGAATTCCAGGTCTTGTACCATCAATATAATAAAGAAGAGCAGTTGGAGGCTCTAGAAGCAGAGAAGAAGATACTAGAAGAAAGGAAAAAGCTGAAAGAGGCAGGAGTTATAGGAAGCACCATGGATGCTATAGATGGAGCAGCATCACTTGTTGGTTCTGGTGTGGGACTGGTTGGTACTGGTGTTCTTGCTGGTGCTGGGCTTGTTGGAAGTGGAATTGGTGCTGGAGCCGGGCTTGTTGGCAGCGGTGTTGGTGCTGGGGTGGGACTTGTCGGTAGTGGTCTTGGAGCTGTCGGTAGCGGGTTGAGCAAAGCAGGCAGGTTCATGGGCCGGACTATCACTGGGGGACATAGCAGTGCTAGAAGGAGTGGTTCATCTACTCCAGTCAGTAATGCACAGGAAAATGGTGGTGGTGCAAAGCCCCTGTAATTTTTGCCTGGCCGCTGCGAAAGACTGAATAGAACTCAAATTTGTAAACTTTGATGACAGATTTCCAAGTTGATTGATCTTTTGTTATAGGATGTTTTCTCAACGTTGTTCATGTACTTGAATGAAAATTGATAGAAAGTGCCAAGTGGGGTTTAGTTTTTAGCTGTACCTCCGTTGTCTGTAATCTTGTCAAACCAGGATGTGTAACGAAACATAAGTTGTACAAATTCCAGATGCATTGAAACCAAAGCTGTACAATAGCATAAATTTATATTATACGAATTATTGCACTCAACTATGGGTGCATGATAGCAAATAGAATCGGACATTTTCTTCATACCATGATTCACTGTTTGGTTGGTAGCAATGATCACTGTTGGGAAAGGAATAGAAGCAGGATTTTCATGCATGCGTAAGTTTGGTTGGCAGCTTATAAAATTCCATTCTATTTCGAAGTCTTTTTCCCTTTACATATAGAAAACAACATTCCATTTTGGTAAGTGATGGAATGAATTTCATGTTATGAAAATGCTCTTCTATATCTGAAATGCCTTTCTTTCTTCATCAGAGTTTCTTGCGGTCCTTATTTGCCTTTTAGTGTAGCTTGCACAAAACTAAGGAAGCAAGATCTTACAGGTTGTATTAGAGTCAGTTTTCTTATCTTTTTAATTTTTATTGCTTATAGATATTCTTTTAATGGAGATAATTTTATTTGAAGCACAATTGACTATTAAATATAAATACCTCTTCATCATGAAAATTTGAATTCATCATGTTGCAAGAAACTTATCTTATTTTGCTAAATCTTGCTTGTTTAGATAAGGAGCATTTGGCATTTGAAAAGCATTTCTTACTTTTTCAAATGTTAAAAGTTGTTTAGACATTTTTTTAATGGAGCAAAATGACTTTTAAAATGTAAATTGAGAAAGGGTTGGAAAGTGAATTTCCAAAATCAAGTGAGTTGGATTTGAAATGCCAAATGCAAGTGGGAGCATTTAATGAGGGACCTAATTTTGCAAATGACCATGTTATCCTTTTTTTTTCCTCACTTCTAATTTTGTAAGTGGATTTCCATAATTTTTGTAAGTGGATTTCCTAATATTGTAAATGACCATGCTACCTAATTTTGTACTTGGATTTTCATAATTTTTTCAACATATTAAACTTTATATTTTTTATTCTTATTATAAAACTTGTTAAGTTTTATGTTATTTTAATTTTTTTTCATATTTTTAAAAAATTATATATATATATATATTTGTATAAAAAAATACAAATAATCATAAGTCGTTGTCCTTTTTGTCCATTGTATATTTGAAAATGCATTTCGAAAGTATAATTTCATATCATTAATTCAAATAATCTTCAATTTATTAAATTAATTTTTGAAAAATACATATCTAAACTCAAATTTTATTATAATAATTAATTTTCACTGAATTAATTTTTATCAAATGAATTTTTAACAAATAAATTTTTTGACAAACTGAGAAAATCAAATTTACACTTAATTTTCATTGATTGTATTAAATTCAGTTTTGTAACCACTCGTGTAACAGAAAAGCAGCAAGGATGCAACGGCATTTATGATTCTGAAAGCTTGGGTAGAGGCTAGAGCAACAGACAAAGATGATTGAAAGCCAACGTCCTTGAATTGAATACTCAAGACATTGACGAGTTGGAAAGTTTGTAATGGGATGGAACCAACTTGGGTGCTGATCCCGCTGGCTCATAACCCAAATTTAAAATGTTTTGTTTATACTTTTATTTTATATTTATTAAAATAAAATTATAAATTTTTTAATGAATATGCTTATCACCAATAGGAATTGTCTAAATTTAATTTGGATGGCTCAAATTTAATATTATTTTTTATAATTTTTATAAATTAACTATCTAGAGTTATTATAAACAGTTCATGTTTAAAATTTTTAACTTTCATCTTCTTTTTTTTAAAAAGAGTGGCAGTTAAAATATTATCTCCATTTTTAATTTATATTTATCAAAATAAAAATTTATAAGAATTATAAAAAATTAATATTAATTTAGACTATCTAGATAACACACGTATTATCTAGATGAGTTATGAACACGTTTATTAAAATTTTTATAAGCTTATATTTAATAAATACAAAATAAAATTAAAAAATAGGAAACTTTAAATATGAACTGTTCAAATTTGATCTGATTCAAATATCATCAGACATGATAAGCACGGTGCTCATTTCCTTAGTGAGGACCCAAGATAGACACGGGAGGGGACTGAAGCTTTCCGGGCGAACATGGTTATGAAACTGTTGATGATAATCATGAGCATTTTTGGGGACAATGTTAGAGCATCATTGAGCATGAACATGTTATGCATGAAAGAAAATCCACAATTTAAGAAGCCAATAACCTCCAAGCTTTTGGAACACTTCTAATAGTTCTCATGTTATACGTGGTGATTTCTTCGAGTTTTTATATTTTATATTTGAGAAAATATATCATTGGACGTTAAGTATTTTTAATGTAAACCTGATGAGAGAGAGAATATTTAAAGTTAGAAGACATAATTGACTCATAATTAAATTTAGAGGTATTTGTGACATTTTGTGTATAATTCAAGGACAAAAATGTTATTAATCCTCAATAAAAAGCTAGATCAAAAAAGTAGAGATCACGTTTTGTTTATACAATATTCAACTCATCATAATTTTAACAATGAGTTAACAATGTTATTGTTATGTACACCTTAAGCATATTTAACTCTATTAGTAACAATAATGACTAACATTATACATTGATGAAACTTAATAGACTTGGAGCAATAAAAAAAAGTATAAAAAATAATTTCAAAACACACTAAAAGTACAATGACCAACAGTTGTATAATTTTTCTTTATATTAATTTATTTTTACCTATTCTTTCATTGTTTTGATAACATACCATATGTATTGTCATGTGTTTGAGAATGATTATGTTTATAAATCATAAGTTTTATATGCATGTAATTGTTAGTCATCGTACTGTTAATGCGTTTTGATATAATAAGCTTTTATATTCTTTTTGTTGCTTCATGTTTGTATATGCTTTTAATCCCTATATTTTAAATATGAGCATAAGAACTTAATAGTAGTTATTGTGTATATAAATACTATTACTTCTTGTGTTGACTTGTTAAAATTATATGTTAAGTTATATAAAAATAAGTAGTGGCAAAAAAAAAAAAAAGTAGAACATTCAATCAAAATCCTTAAACGCATATGGATTAAGCTTCAAAAAGAATAAGACATGACAGCCATGGTAGGAAAGCAGAAAGTTTAGTAGCTATTTTGCTCATACAATAATCAAATCTTATTGAGAGAAATGTTTATATTTAGTGACTCATCGTGCTTTGAATATAATTACTTTTAATAGAAGAATACCTATGAATAATAATTAAAAAAACTTAGCAATAGAATTAATAAAGTTTAAGCATAAGCAGATTTAACTTTGTTAGTAGCAATAAGGACTGACATTGTAAACCAATGAAGTTTAAGGGACTTAGAATTACAAAAAAGTATATGATTAATACAAAAATGTGATAAAAGTACAGTGATCAATTAGCAGTATAATTTCATATCCCTTATATTAATTTATATTATACTCAATGTTTCATTGTTTTGATATCTTACCTTATCCATTGTGTCATTTATTTTAGAATGGTTGCGTTGACATTCTTAAGTATAAACCATGTACAGAAGAATAAGCATGGTGATTTTTGGATTAGAAATATAAGAGAATATTTTATATCTTTTCTATATTTGAAAAATTTGAAAATTTGGTTGATTATACTCCTTCCACAATTCAGCTTTGGGAGCTAATTTCCATTTAATAAGGGAAAAGTACAATTTAGTTTTCTCGCTCACTGGTTTTTTTTTTTTTTTTAAGTACGGGGCATGTCTATTGACAATAAAAAGAATATCTGTTAAAATACTGAGAGCAATGCATAGATATCTCTCTCAATTAGATTGTTGTATATGTAAGTATTGGGGTTAGTTTATACTCCCAACCACTTATGCAAGGTTTAATTTTTCATTACTTAAACATATTAAGAAACTTTTGTAAAATTAGTTGGACTTCTTGTTCAAAAATTACTACCAATTTCTAAAATTAACCTCTTTGAATATAATTGTAAATCAATCTTAATTTTATCTTTTCTGTAGTCCCTCTTCCTCAACCATACTTGTTTTGTTTGCAAATTTAAAAGGAAAAAATATCCAATATCTTATGTACAAAAAATATTTAAATAGATCAGGTGTATCATATTATTTGTAGTCTATTCAATAAAAAATATAATATTTACATGGCATTGAATATACAATAATTTTGATATTAATGATAATAGAGAGAGAAAATGTAAGAAATTAAATATGCATTTTGTTATAAAAATAAAATCAATTTAAAAAATTTCACACAAGATTTTATTTAAATTATTTGAAATATTTTAGTTAGATAGACCATAAATGATGAGGTGCACTTGATCTATTTAAGTATTTCTCCTTGTGTACCTAAGGGGCCAATTGTGTCTTTTGCAAGGAGCATATCCATTGGTTTAAACAACATATAATTTTACCTAGAATTTGCTGTATATTCAGAATCTTCTAAAAATAAGATTTACATACAATTATAGGCCGGGGAGTAATATTATTTATTATTATTTATTCTTTGTTATGAAAAGTGGTCATTTTTATTTTTCATAAGTTAAAAATATTCCCTATCGTCTAAACGTTTGTAAACGGACTCAACTATCCCAAGCTTTAACTTACCGTTTTATATCCGGAAAAAAAAAAGTTAAAAATATTATTGATTTTCAAGAAACATAGTTACTTTTTCAGGAAACAGATAATAAAATTCTCTTGAATTATATAAATGAAAATATGATATCTTGAAATATCATAATTCTAATAAAATTTATAAGAACTTCTATGTTAGTAAATTTTAAATTGAAAAGATTATATTACCCTTATTAACAAATTGTGATTTCTTGTTCAGTTTTTACGATTCTTTAAATAAAAGTTGTTATTCTTTAAATAAACATTGTGATTGGGGCTTATTATTTTAGGAATTTATTTTTCAATAACATAAATTATACTTGATAAGTTATAATTTTTTGTTTAATTCATGTGATTTATAGGACAAAAGTTATTATTCTTTAAGCAAAAGATGTGATTGGAGCAATTATTTTGAGACAAAAATTATATTTGATGAGTTATAATTTCTTGTTCAATTCTTACAATTCACAAGACAAAAATTATTATTCCTTAAGTAAAAGTTATGATTGAGGTTTGTTATTTTCAATAAAGATAAAATAGCTTTT